TTACAGGCTCATAGGTGGGACTTGCCTAGTCTCAGATGAGACTTTGGACTGTGGACTTTTCAGTTAATGCTGAAATGCGTTAAGACTTTGGGGGCCTGTTGGGAAGGCATGATTGGTTTTGAAATGTGAGGAGGGGCCAGGGATGGAATGATATGGCTTAGCTCTGTGTCCCCAATCAAATCTCATCTTGATTTGTAGCTCCCACAATTCCAATGTGTCATGGGAAGGACCCGATGGGAGGTAATTGAATCATGGAGGCAGGTCTTTCCTGTGCTGTTCTCATCATGGTGAATAAGTCTCACAAGATCTGATGGTTTTATAAAGCAGAGTTTCCCTGTACAAGTTCTGTTTTGTTTACTGCCATGTAAGATGTGCCTTTTGCTTTCTGCCATGATTGTGAGGCCTCTCCAGCCCTGTAAAATGTGAGCCTATTAAATATCTTTTTCTTTATAAATTACCCAGTCTTGAGTATGTCTTTATCATAAGCATTTGGACTAATAGAGTATGGTACTAGAATAAGATGTATAGGCCAGTGGAACAGAATAGAGAATCCAAAATTTAATCCATGTACCTACAGTCAACTGATTTTTGACAAACGTAACAAAAACACTCATTGTGGACAGGACAGTCTCTTCAATAAATGTTTCTGGGAACACTGGATATCCATATGCAGAAGGTACTACTTCTGAAATGTGATCAAGGCTGTTTCATGATCATGTAAGAAAATTCTAATCTTACTATATCCAGTGGTGCAGGATATACATGTGTAATTTTTTTATTTGTATGTGGCAACAAATTATAAGTTATATTGAAGGATGATTATAGATTTTTATGTCACAGCTAAAAACAATCATAACACTGACAAAAAGTCATCTAATTTTTAAAAATAATTAATACACGTTATTTTAGAATAGTTTTAGGGTTGTGGAAAAATCAAGGGCAAGTGCAGAATTCTCATGGATCACTTCTTCCTCCTACACAATTTCCCTTATGATTAATGTCTCCCATTAGTGTTGTACGATTTGTCTGGATGAAAAAATATTGATACATTATGAGTAAGTCCATCGTTTAGGGTTCCCGCTTTCTGTTGTATATTCCGTGGGTTTGACAAATGTATGAGATGTGTCTGAAGCAGCCTCGTTGTCTGGGGTAAATACCAAGATTTCTGGTCTCATGGCCAAGGAAGTTGAGGTCTTGGACACACACACACACACACACACACACACACACACACACACACACAGAGTGAGTTTGGAGCAGGAGTTTAATAGGCAAAAGGAAAAACTGGTCTCTATTACAAACAGGGGTCCCGAGCCTACTGCCAAGTTGTAGTAAAAATGTCAGGGTTTTTACAAATGGGCCAGTGAGGAGGGGGCTCGTGAGCAGGGGATGTCTGATCCTCCTAAGGCCCCAGGGTTTAGTTGGGACCAGGTGTACTACATGAACAGAGCAGTCTTTTATCAGCTCTTATCCCATTCCCTGACCACATAGACTCTTAGTCCGTGTTTTTTTGGTCCTGCTTATTTGGGAGGGAGAGTCTCTGTGTCTGTTCCCATACATCTTGCAGCTGTAGGCATCTTGGTGCCCCTAAAGGGAAAGGAACGTGCTTCTTATGGCCTACTGTTTTACTGGGGTCCACCGTGTAAGTGTGAAGCTTGGTGATTTACCCAGGAGACTCCCTGCACCCGCCCCAGTCCTTCTGTGTCTGAGCTGTCTTATTTGTGTTTTACTGTCTGCTCCTTCAGGCTGCTTGTTGTTAGAAGTCATTTCTTTGAGTGGCCTGAGCTTAGAAAGGGAGCTATTTTTGAGCTGCTTTTTGTTCGGTTTTCTACCTGAGACTCGCTTTACCCTGTCAACCGAAATGATTTCTTTCTGCTCCTATAACATATCCACCATTACACATAGAATAGTTTCACCACCTAAAACGCTCATGTTCCCCAGGGTGGGAATCGGCTCTGGGTCGAGGCCTCCACTGGGTTCCCCCAATCCCTGGGCTATGCCTGCAAATGAGGGACATGGGACAAGGGCGTCCTCTGTGTCCTTATCACCGGAAAAGGATCCGCCAGACCCGGCCTTGCGCTCCCAGCTGGAGGACGGTCACGTCCCTGCCGGATGTGGGACAGGTAGTCCAGGAATTACCTTCCTGTCGATTTGGGCTTCCTGCTCGGGTCACAGGCGCCAGCGGCTGCCGGGAAAATGGAACGCAGGGGATCCAGCCCCAGGCGGATCTCTCCGGGGCGCTGCGGAGGTGGGGCCATGCTGGGCGCAGTCTCGCCTCCCGCCC